CTAGATGGGAGTGGGTAGGAAGTGGAGAATAGAATGCAGTAGATAGTGAAATGAATAGGAGGAGAGAATGTGGAGACTACGCTGTTAAGAGTCTTACAAATAGAAAGTGATGGAGGGAGATTTGGCAAACACCAAATGGGAATTTTTCCAACTCATAAGTCCCCCTTCCTTGCTAACTGATCTCCCATCCACACAGTCATAGGAGCGGGCTTCTTGAAGCTATGTTTGTACATGGCTGACCCCTTGGCTGTAATTGATTGACCCTTGATAGGGTTCATCATCTAAGCTGGACCAATACTTTCACCAAGAAATTTAGAATTTGGGTCAAGAGTAAAACCCGTTTCTCTCCAGTTGGTTGGTTAATCTTGGGAGCTGGGCAAGCAGAAAGTAAGCTTCTGGTGTGCAGAAGAGCAAAGCAGATGTGTGGAAAGGACAGAGGGGAGGGAACATCCAGGCTTTACAGCCCCTGGTTCCAAATCCTTCTCAAGGTCCATGGAAAGCCTGTCATCTAGTTCTGGGTGAAACAATACTATCTTAGCATGAACTCTTTATTTTTGACTTACTCAAATAGTTCCTCTTACAACAAAAATGATCCTTTTTGATACACAGGGTGTATGCTTTTCTTTCTCTTTTCTTCAAAGAGAAAAGAAAGGTCAGTTGAGAGAAAGGCAAAGATGCAGAGAAAGAGTGAATAATTGATAGAGCCATTCTCAAAGAATGAAAGGGGTGAGGTGCAGAGCACAAGGAAGTGCCTTCCCTTTGAGATAGGTGGGTAAGGAAGAAGTGGGGAACAATGTAGATGAATATGTGGGTTGAGGCTAGGGAGAGTGTTCCTACCTAATGACTCCTATTTTCTTTGTAAAGAGTCAAAATTATCTACAAATCATGCGACGGTGGGCCATAGTTTGGGTGGCAAAGTTTAGAAACAGCCATTGTTCCAATGGGCCAGGAATCTGGCCACAGATAAATAATACAAAGACAGCTGAAAATTCTAAGTAGGTAGTATCCAGGTCTTGTATCACAGAATGCATTGATACAGAGTCTCAGGCCTAAAAACCTTCAACTCTTGCCTATTTAGCCCCCTTTAATATACGAATCGGATCATATCACACTACCCTGAAGAAATTTTTCCAGTGGTTTCTACTGCTTTAAGATATAAACTGTCTCTATAAAGTGTTGCTCAGCAACCAGGAGGGGGGAACATGAAGGAAATGTTGGGCTTGATCCAGTGCTGGGTGTGTGACAGACATCGCCAGGGAATACCTAGGGAGAGGTATGGAGGCATTGTAAAGAGAGTTGTTGAAGTGGTAGAGGAAGGCATGACAGGTGGATACCAATAGCCAAGGAAATTAAAAAAAAAGTCCTGGGGGTTTGGGGGTGGTGAAGTGAATGTGTGGGAATGAGACAGCAGGAAACATTCAAGGTTGAGTTTGCATGGAATGTTAGGGGTGAGATAAGATTTAAGGCAGGAACATTTAAGGACTTCCTAATGTGACATATTTTGAGACAAAGACATAAACTTTCTTCTATGGGAACGGTACCACCTCCCACCAGTCACCCAAACCTGAGACCTGGAGTCATCCTAGAATTTAGTTTTTTGTCCTCCCTTGTATTCAGTTGGCCATCAGATTCTTTCAATTGTATTTCTTAAATATCCCTTGATTGTAATTGCCTTGATTGAAAACTTCAAAGTTGCTTATAGCGTTTAGTCTTAGTCCTGATAGCCCCATCCACTTGCCCCACTCTTCTTTAAAATTCAAATCAGATCACATCATTTCCAGGTTTCAATTCTTCCAATGGCTACCCACTGCCTTAAGATACAAATTCCTTGGCATGGCAGGCAAGGTTCTTTGTAAGTGAAGTGGTCACTGTTTACCTCCTTGCTTTAGTCACATAGTTCCCTGTGATTAAATGTCCTTGGAAAGATCTTCCTCACCTTCTTTTGAATCTTACTTTTTCAAGATTCCCCATATCTACAGAGACATGAGAACCCTTATTTCCTCCCCCGGAAGAATGACTGTCAGAATATGAGTAGCCAGGCTCCTGTGCATACTCCTGGCCCAGAATTTATCATGTGCTTCCCTCTCTGGTTTGAAAGCTCTAGAAGGGCTTAAATACTGTTTATTTTACCTGTAAACCTCAGAGCCTACCATAGGGTCTGGCCAGAGTACATGCTCACTGGATATTATTGAATGAAAGAACAAGTGAATGTTGAAGTCACCTCTACTGATGGGAGGAGTTGGGGTGAAGGACTGTGAGTCAGAGGCCAAAGTCCTGGATGAATGTGAGAGTTTAATAGTTGTGTTTTATGGGGTCCAGGCCATCAACACCCTCTCTTAGGGAAACTGCCTTGTCTACCAGTCAGCTGTCCAGCAGTCCCAATCTCGACCCCTATTCCTGTACAAATGATTAAGGTGAGTGATCCCACCCCTCTATTGGGCTTACCAGAGACCTGTGTAACCAGTAATGAAAAGATGAGCTGGGTTAATCTGATTTTCTCCTGGGATCTGGAGACTGGGAGACAGATTAAATTGATAAGCTCCAGAATAATAGATTGAAAGGATACATCAAGAATTGCCGGGGCCAGCTGAGTGGCATGTTGGTTAAGAGCTGGCTTGGGATGCCAGAGGGCCCTGGTTCGGATCCCACATATGAGGGCCAGTGACACTGCCCTCTACAGCTAAGATGCTGGGCTGTCATGAGTCTCTGGCGATGGCATAGGCTGCAGCCCCTGCTGCAGTGGGTTGCCATGGGCTACCGTGTGTAGCCAGCAGCCAGTGTG